AACTGGAAGCTGCTTCTGTGCTGCTAACTGTTTATCTGGGGGTATCTTTCTAGCTATGTTCAGCTCTGCTCAATCGCCCCAAGAATTAGCTGAGACTTAGTAGATCAGCACGCTTTGCACAGCCGACGTGATGGTGGTGTAGTGTGACGACGAACAACGGTTGACTATGACCACCTCTATTGGAAGACTACGTGCCAGTTAACCGATAACATCCCTCGTAGCCTAAATATCAGAAGGCAGTTGATAGCTATAGTCAAGATGCATTCGTTGACGATCTCGTGGTATCGGAGGAGTACAGAAGTTGTGCCAAAGGAGTACAAGTGTGGTTACTGAGCGTAACCGAATTCGCGCAAGGTCACAATCAACGGAAGTAATAATGTATACATTTTGGTAAAATTAAACAATTAAGTACAGTAAAACAATCTCTGGAACAATTGGCTATAATAATTGTTTCCACTACACCGATCGCGTTCTTTTGATAAAAGTAGGTCACTACAGTGGTTTGCAGCACTTTTTATATACGGACAGTGTGAGTCCGGTACACACGTTGTGATAGTATTTGTTGTAGTTGTCACATTATATTCAGTTTCAGTTTCAGTTTGGGAAGGACAGGAGGCTCGACGGCCTATGTTAGTCCTGGCAATGGTGGTCTCTCAGTTGATCCAACTTTCTTTTGAAATAGTCGACGGATGGAGCCTCAACCACGTGCTGAGGTAGTGAATTCCACTCGTTGATTATTCGATGGGAAAGTCGATAGTCAGCTGACAAGTAATTTGCTCTCGGCTTGTGAACTTTTTTGGAGTGTCCTCGTAAATTCTCTGTTTTGGAAGACAAGGAAAATGAGGGCATGTTAGGTGCGAATTTATCACTAAGCAATTTGTAGACTGTAATCAAGTCACCTCTAGTTCTGCGATAAGATAACGGGAAAAGGTTCAGCTTGGCCAGTCGAGATTCATACGGAAGCTTTGCTATTCCGGGAACCAGCTTAGTCGCCGTTCTCTGAACCTTTTCCAGAAGCTCACTGTCTTTTTTTAAGCAGGGGCTAGCCGCTTGTATGCAGTACTGAAGTTTAGGACGAACAAACACTGTATACAAAGTCAAAAACGTCTTAGCGTCGACATGACTAAAAGCCCTACGTATTGAACATAACGATCTAAAACTTTTGGCGACTATTGCACGGCAGTATGCAGTAGTCTTTAAGTCTTGACTAACGATAACGCCTAAGTCATTATATGTCTGGACGACAGGTAGCTCAGTGTTATATATCATGTATGTATTTGTGCCTTGATGACCGATATGCATCACAACACACTTGGAAGTATTTATCGGCAACTGCCATGTTTGAGACCATTCAGATAACTTCTTCAGGTCATTTTGAAGTTCTAAGCTATCACTCTTACATCGTATCACTTTCCATATCTTGACATCGTCAGCATATAGCAAGACCGATGATGATAGGAGACAAGGAAGGTCATTTACATACAAGAGGAATAGCACTGGCCCCAAAACTGTACCCTGGGGCAATCCACTAAGCACAGTTTCCCAGCTAGATAACTTTGAGTTCACCCGAACTCTTTGTTGACGCCCAACTAAGAAGTCTTTTATCCACATCAATAAATTGCCTCTAATCCCGACTTTTCTTAACTTATATAACAGCCGGTTGTGCGGAACTTTATCAAAAGCTTTACTGAAATCAATGAAGGCGACGTCTACAGGTAGCTTTTGGTCCTTAAGAGCGCACCAGCTTTCACGAGCCACTAATAAGTTAGTGAGACAAGAATAACCTATTCTGAAGCCGTGCTGTTTCTCCGAGAGGATCCGGTTTTTATCGAGATACTTAAACAGCTCTTCCCTAATAATCTTTTCTAATATTTTAACAACCACACTAGTTAGGCTAACGGGGCGGTAGTTTTCAGGTTTGTGTTTCGTACCTGTTTTGAAGACAGGACTTACTATGGCGTTTTTCCAATCTTTCGGTAAGCGACCCTGCGTAACGGATAGGTTAAAGCTTGTACTTAAAGGGCTTGCAACGAAGTTAGATAATTCCTTTAGTAGCCTAGGATGTAATTCATCGGGCCCCGTGGATTTACCTATATCAAGCTTATTTAGCAGACCAAAGACATCGAGTTCTTTAATGGTCACGCTATCCAGTTTATGTGTGAGGGGATCTGTATACGCTGACGAGAAGGGCGCTTCTATGGTATACACGTTGCTAAAGTAGTTCGAGAACGCTTGAGCCTTACCAAAGTCGTCCTCCACTAATGATGAAGCAGTACTGTCTCCCCATAGAGCAGGAATATTTCCTTTTCTCCTTGTCCTTTGGTTTATATAGGAATACAAGCGTTTAGGACATTCTATGGATTCCTTTACAAGTTTTTCTTCGTACAACTTTCTAGACTTACGGAGGGTCGAGGCACAAGTGTTCCGAGCCTTTCGATACTGAGATTTTGCCTCATCAGTCCCCAGTAACCTAAATCTATCCCACATCTTCCTTTTCTTACGGAGAAGAATACGGACCTCCCTACTGAACCATGGTGGAGAGTTTTTCGGTCCCTTTGGTATAGTCCAAGGGATGTGAGGTGTGGTAACTTTTAAGTATGAATTTCGAAATGCGTCCCAGGCCGTTTCAATGGAGGACTCTGGGTCTATTGTCCAATCTATTAACGATGCTGAGTGCATGATGGCTGGTATGTTTGCTTTCCAGACGTTGGGTCTGGACTGGACTGATGCGTCCTCATGACTGACAGTTATATGGAAGTCGAAAGTTAAAACTGCGTGGTCACTTTTACCTAAGGGTGGCATATGTTGGAGGTTCGCAACATCATCCTCATAGTGAGTCAGTATAAGATCTAATAAGGATGATTCAGTGTCCGGATCGTACCTTGTCGCTTCTTTCACATGTTGTACTAGAGCACATGTGATGATCCCATCAACTAGTTCCTGCTCGAAAGAATTCTCCGACGATTTAATTCGCAGATTTTCCCAGTCTACCATAGGTGCGTTAAAGTCCCCTAAGATTAGACATCGACCACTTTGGGACCAAGTATTGAGACTGCTTAACAGGATCTCATTTGCCTCACAGCTTGGACTGCGATAGACCAAACCAATCAGCAGCTCTTGTCCCTTGCATTTTAGGCGAAGACTAACTAATTCACACGTCCCACTCTCATGAGATACACTGTCGACAATGGTAAATGGGATAGCATTCCTAATGAATAGAGCTACTCCCCCTCCTTTGCGCTTTTGTGTTCTGTCGGCCCTTACTAACGTAAAGCCCTCGAAATCAAGTTCTATACTATCTATAGCCTGTGTCAGCCAGGTTTCTGTTACTGCGATTATGTCTGGCTTTGTAGAGTCAATCTGTACACCTAGTTCCGATCGTTTATTAAGTAAGCTTCGTGCATTGGTGTAACAGATCCGAAGCCTGTTTAAGTGCCTTCGTGTTTCACCCAGAGTGGCTTCGGCATCATTCTCTGTCGAAGTCTTACAACCCGAAAATTTACAATTTTCAGGTCTTTTTCGCCAGCGTTTAACCTATGTTGTAGTTCTTTCTCGGCTTCCCGTCTTTTAACACGGTCTGCCAAGGTAGGTCCTTTCGAATAAAGACTCCTGAACCCTTTAATTTGTGCCCATTTTGTAAAATTTGGTCACGTTCGTTCGAAGAGCCGAATACTACTTTAAGCAGTCTGGAATGATTTGGTTTCGAGTCCGTTAGACTCCCTAGTCTGTACACCTTTAGCAAGGTGACCCCGGTCATATTTTGAGGCATGAGTTGATTAAGCAGCTGCCTAATCAGTACAATGTCATGCTCAAAACGAGCTTTAGGTTCAGAGCTATCGCTCTCCTTGATTCTATGAAAAATAGCTGATCTGTCGCTATGATCAGCTTTCGATTTTTCAACCACTTTTACGGGAGCAGGTTTCCCTTTTATATCCCTACTTCTCTTCCTCGCAACCTTTATCCATTCCTCAACGGTGCTGGTAGAAGCAATAACAGTTGCGTCAAACTCAGTGTTGGGTTTTGGGGGGTTTCCGACGACCTGATGGGTCGTGTTATGTTTACCGTTTGAAACCGATCGAGCCTTGCGACTGCGGCTTCTAGGTGTTTCCTGTTGGATCCCATCTGGGAGACGAGGAACAGAAGACCCTACTTTTCTTGAGCTTTTGTCTAAGGCAGGCCTCTTTGGAGACTGCTTTTCCTTCTTTGACAGGCTTGAGTCATCTACCACCGGACTAACCTTAGTTTCCTTCACGTTGATTTGCGTATCGACAGATCGAGGGCTGCTTGACGCGTTCCGACTATGCTTGCTAAAGCACTTCTTTGCAGCATCAACCAGTGAGATGGCCTCGGTTAGCAAGCTGTTTGCATCCGAGCAGCACTGTTGACAAAGCCACACACAACCCTTTTTACTGTACCGTTTGAAAGCAGCAGGCGTTAAGTTCGTGCAGACTTCGTGGTACCAGCCTTTGCACTCGTCGCACTGCATCCCGCTTTCAACAGGATAGCGACAACCCGGACGTTGACAACTACTTTTTTTACACTGTCCGGTCATTTAAGAGGGGTTCTTTTTTTAAACTGTGAGGATACTCAGAAACAAAAAAAAACAATTATCAATGACCAAAAGTGAAGAGCTGTAGATTGCTAGGACCAAAAGTACTAACAGATACAGTTGAATAAGAGGTACTCAAAAGTACCAACGACAAAACAGTAAAAACGATACTTTAGTCAAATTCTTTAACTGAAATAAATTCAATTAAAGTGAAAACAGTAGTCTTGATACGTAATAAACGATCAAAACAAACAAATTTACTCAGCGAGGAAAAATACCACTGACCTTTTTAAATAGCGCAACGTGAAGAAACACACGGGCCTACCACTACGACGTTTTTCGCTGCTGCTAATTACGCAAGCTCGTTAAGTGGAAGCTTTTTCTATCCTGTCCAAAACCATTTGACACATGTGACCATTTGGCCCGCGGTGATCATTAGGCGCGGTACGTGATGCCTTCTACAGTTGCTATCTCTCCGTCAGATAGTGAAGGGGATGGGCGTTGGATGAGTCAAGTATTAGCGTAGCACTTACTTCTCAAATTTAGCAGCATACAAGGTTTGTTTGCCAGGCCCGAAAGAAAGAACCAGATGTTGTATTACTTGGTGACTCCATATTCGTTTACATGCAGTTTACACAGGCAAGCTTTAATTTTAACTTGATTCATTTCCGTAGACGTACAAAAAACACATAGAGCCCTTACACTGTGTAAACTTTAGTATTGCTAATGATCAGACACAAAATGTGTTGTGGAGAATCGAAAATGGAGAACTGGACGGTTTTTCGCCTAAGGTAGGGATTGTATATACAAGGACCTGAACTCTAAGGTGGTCGTAATCATGATTGGTAGTCACAACGTTGCTGATTCGGAAGAAGAGGTTGTCAAAGGGATCCTCACCGTTGTTGAAAAGACAAAATCTAAGCAACCTCGCGCATCCTTAATAGTTATGGTCAGTACTTTTGTGTCTTTAGTTTCTTGTTAAAATGCCAGTTTTTGCTTTTGATATTTTTCCAGTTAAATTCACTGCTAGCCGACAATGTACATATACACCGTAATACAAAACGCTCTGTTTTTCGCCTTAAAAAATGTGCTGTTTTTTCTTGCCAAAAGTTTTTAAATACTGAACAGGAACACACTAAGGGTGTTTATATATCAAGTGACTTTATTCGATTCAATGTTATCCATCATTCCTTTAATCCCAGATGGGAGAAATGTTAATATACCCTTTTGATACATTATCAATGACTTATATTTTCCCAGTAATTGTTGACTAATATTTTTGGTACTATTTGCACAGGTGTTTTCTTTTATGAATAACGTCTCTCGGCTAGTGTATCTTGGTATTACAGACTAAGCGAATAGTACTGGTATGTTGGCATCTCTGCTAATGTGGTGTGGCAACTCGGACTGATGTACGTACGTACGAAGTTCTACGTTGTTACTAACTGACTGAATTTTCAACAGCTCTGTGCTTAACTACTATTACTCTCGAATGATTGCTTACATTCACCAGGAACACCATGTAGTTAATATGATGGGTGCACGGTGTTTTTAAACATAAGGGTAGTATCGTTTTTTTAAGTACTTATCCCTGTTGCTTAGACCCGACTAACCCTCGAAGTTCCAACGACTGCTTGAAGAATACTATCTTCTCACCATTATTGACCGTATCAACACTTAAATCTTAGATGATTTAGTATCAATAATTAAGTCCATGGATATTAACCGGTCAGCGAAGTAACTCCATCTTCATTCTTAATGAAATAAATGACAGATGACAGTTTATAATTACCTACCATAAAGAATATACTTGGTACTTACAGATGTTTCATAGCCTTTTAATAAGCAGGCTTCCAAACGTCACTTTTTTTTCAAATAGTCTTTGATGTATTAATCAGTCGTTTTGTTCTGTTATCTTCAGTATTACCATATTGTCTTCCACCAAATAGTCTGATCATATTACGAAATTCGATTTGTTTCTTCTCAAGGGTCTTTTACCGTGTGGTAGAACTCCAAACAAAAGACGCACGAAGCATGAACAGATTAATAAACTCCTTACTGAAGCTTTCACCTGTCGACCTGATGTCACATACTTGAATCCTGACTGGGATAATTTTATCCAACAAGATGGAACTATTTCACATCGTGATATGTTCGACTATATGCATCCTACCGAAAATGGTTATGAAAAACTCTGCGATCCTTTACTAGAAGAACTGCAAAATTCTCTGCACACATTCTTAAAAACCAACGCACCCAATAGTTTTGTTGAAGATTCATGATTTCCAGGCTCCAGACATTTTGGTATTCTGTACAATATTATTCCTATTTCTGAGTCAATTCTTTGTTTATTTAATTTTGGATATAAATTATTGTGCTTCATGGCTTTTCATTTATAAACTTATTGGTGCATTATTATTTGGGTTTCATCACTTTCTTCATCGTTCACTTATAATAAAATTTTAATACAAGGTTTCCGTAGCTCTATTTTCACTTAGTTACTTTGTTCATTAAATTTATTTTGTTATCCTGACGACTACCTTATTTCATTTGATTCTCCTTGCCACTTGCTGCGGGCTTTATCCAACCTATCAGTGACTAGTTTATTTATTTCGTATTTCAGACATACTTTCATATACTTCAGTTGTATCCTAATGGATCAACTCTTGAGTGATAAATTGTTTGGTGGAAATTATAGCTAATACGGAAGAAACTGTTTGGTTTTATATTTCAAACAATTTTTCTTAATGATAATTTTGACTAAAGCAATAAAAATGGACATAGCAGAACTTCAAGCTATCTTCATGTGTTAAACAGTATGGATATTTGTAAGTTAAATATTCTTAAATAAAAACTAAGAGCATACGGACATAATTGTTTAGAAATAAAATATTAGTATTGTTGTTATGAATTCCTTATAAAGTAAAATCGAAGTATGTAACAGTAGAGGTCATATGAAAAGTGCGAGTCAATAGTCGGTGGCATAGGAAGAAAAATCGCTTAACAAACATTTGTAAATGATATCACCATGGCAAAGCAAGATTGACAACTGAGTCTTTTTGGGTACATAAATTTGGTTTAAGTCTTTATATAGCAATTGATTCGGCTAAACGTGGTAAGTTCAACTTTGCTCACCAATTATCTTGGGAAGTTTGGGTGGTCAACACAGTGTCTACTGTCAAGTAAGTGGTATGCAATTAAACTAATGAAAATGTTCAGTTCTTTTAGTCTAAGCTTTTCTGGAACGCGCTCAGAGATGTAGACACGAACCCCTTTTCTGTTCCTCTGATGTATGTGCCTTGACATGTACATGTAAATTGGTAGTTCGGTTTTATATGCAGGTATAACAGTAATTAACCTTAGTCCGGGTTTTTAATATTCAGTTCGTAGCTGTTAAATTATCAGTATGTAGAGCATTGTACCATTAGAGTCACAAATAGCTTATAAACTAAATCGAACCCGGATACACTGTTCGATCGTTTTTTCGACATAGATTAGTTAAGATGAAAGGTCAGACAAAAATCAGTTCTTAGACGGATACTAAACATCAAACGGCTTGTTTGATAAAGCAAATAATAATTATTGGTTCTGGTGTAATAGACTAATGATGTAGTTAGACGTGGTGTTAACTATTTTGAGGCGTTGATGAACACTTTCATTGTATATATCTCAACTGGTTTTAGCTGCCTGTCTGCATTCGAGCAGCATTCTGTTGTTTTATTTCGTGTGCAGCTTAGTGCTGACTAATATTCTTCGGGCTGTTTAGTATGCAAGTTTTTAAATAATTTGCACAACTTCCTCTCAGAGTAATATTTACATCCTACACATACGTCAGAATTTTGGCCAAGGCAGTCAATTCACGAAGTGCTTCTGTATGATACGTGACTGGTTTGGCAACTTTTAGTCGTCAACTAGTTAAAATACTTCTATATTCGGTCGCGGCTAAAGAAGAAAAGGGTCAATTTAATGCCACTCAAACAACATTACTTCACACTAAGTATCTTATCAGCTGGCGAAAGAAACTACCAATCAATCTGTTAGCTATATTTGATTTATGTTTGGTAGGTATATGTCAAAACTGTCAGCTGGAATTGCTAGTAGGAAGTCATATCACATTGTAGATCATATCGTAACTTTATAGACTGCATGAATTGTACTGTCTCACATCCATATTCGGAGCTCAAATTTTTAAGTTTTCTAAAAACGTATAAGATGTTAAGCAGGAAAAAACCATCTAAAAATCTTCAATTCAAGTACAATCCCCAATATACGGTATAGCGATCGAGATTGAACTTCTGTTCGTCGTGGAACTGAGTAACCCAAAACTAAACTCCTTGACTACAGCTTCGCAGTGTAATCTAGACTGATTTATCGCTTTCTTTGCTGTAAAATGACATAAGGCAGGACTAGTGCTTCGATTTGTTTTACCGTGTCAATCGTCTGTGCGTAAAATCTCAACCAATAGTAATTTTATTCATGGGTTAGTTTTGTCTCTATGACCTGACACACCCTAGAAAAGTTACCATGAATTGAGACGAAACGTAATTTATGTACTGTACGTAATTAAATAGTTAAACAGGGTTGAAAATCAATGATTTCATAGTAGGACATTTGTATTCAGTTGATCGTAACGGTCATTTGCTTGATCTAAACAAATGATATGTGTCAAAAGTCATCAGATACGAAAGCACAGAGTCCAACTCTTCAAACTCAGTTGTTTGAGATCCCTGTATGTATTTACGACGGCGAGACTGGATAAGTAAAGTTGAATGAAGATAGGACTAATGGCAGTTGTTAATTTATTGTAGTGGAAAAAATACTTGAGACGATAAGTTCTTCAACACTTGTCATGGAGTCTGCCCGTACAATAGATTTCAATAACACAAAAATTCCTCTAAAAGGCCTTTCGTACGAAGAGAAATTAGTAGCTGGAGCCTAAAACACATGGAAAAATCCGTGTAATATTAACAGAACAGATGAAATACAATCAGCTGTCTCATGGCAATTAATAATTAATGAATAAACTTGAACTCTTTATTACATTCTACTTCATTTAATTCATCTCTTATTATGTGAACAACGATTACTTTTATTTGTTCCCATCCGAATTTATGATAAACAATCAATTTGGTCAACACAACAACGGACATTTGTTTACTTATATTCATTTTACGGATGTTGCGACATGTTTATCTTATATTATCTGTAAAAATTATCTGATTTCATCAAAAATCCCTAATCAGAGACGAAATATAGTGAATGAGTATCTTTCACATCAGATCTACATACAATTCCATACAAGTGTTGTTTTAACCCGATTTTTTCCTTGTTTCACAGCAAGTGTTTCATAAACATTACAACAAACCTCACTTTTAACATTGTTAACGTGATTACATTACTTGTTTCGTGTACAGTTAAAAGTGGAATCATGAATATATATTCGATAATTCTGGTGTTTACTTATATTTTTTTTTAGAAATTCTAGACCAGATTGCCTAGTAAAACGTTGGATTTGCTTATAGTTTTTAGCTGAAAGTTTTATAAATTTAGTTTTCCCTCTGTAAGTCTTGTCATTATTATCTTATAATTCGAGGCCTTAGGCAATCTTGCATTTTGTTTTATTTTTTGTAACACCTTCTGCGTGCATAAGTATATGTTTTAATAATTTAATATCTAGTAATATCGCTCAATAACTTAAAGATAACTCGAGGACATCACTGGTTTCAGATCAACTTTCATCAAGATAGTAAATAACACAGATAATTGATCAGTCAGTCATCATGCTTAAATATAAAGGTTAACATCGCTCATCGAAGATATGCTTATGATTTTGTTTTCATAAGCAACTGATTGATCACTAATTACTTCTATAGAAAAAAATCGGTCATAATCATGTTTTGCTATCACTCAGGTTAGAATTAAAAGAACTACAAATAATGCACAATGGAAATTCCTTCAACTGACCTACAAAATATGTAGAATGAAGAAATAAACAACCAATTATAAATTTCCGTCCTTCGAAAAACTTGCAATTCGGGACAAGGAAACTAGTTGACTATTAACTGAACTTTCACAATTAGGTACTAATATTTTAGAACCAGTCTTGGAAATCTCATCTTTACTAATAATTACAAATATGTTCGATTCCTGTCATTCATTTGTCAGAAATTTTGTTAGCACTGAATGTTATCATATTACTAGTTGAAGAAGCTTTTAGCCACATTCTTCCCATTTTTACTTTTAATCATATTACAACGAGTTACGACAGAATCCTTATGCGAATAGGACATGCTATTATTCATTGGAGCAGTTGTTAATTGATTTACTCGGTTGATTCGAAGTAGGTTTACGTCTTAAGTGGATTATAGACAGACCACTGATTTTTCTGTCCAACATTTTTTTGAGGAAATTGACTTTTAGATATTTTTTCACTATTTTATATCGTATATAAAGCAAAATTCCTACAATTCTGTGTTTGAAATTGTGGCTGTTAGTATGCTATAAAACTGAATCATTCATACTATTATCCAATTTTCAGCTTCTCTTTGTAAGTCCCTTCAAAGACCTTTTGAGTAAACTATCACATATTTGGTGTTGATGTTATTCTCTTCTGACTATATCGATCTTGTCTTTTGACTGAATTCGATCTTTTGATTTTTAAAAATTTTCTGTGCCAGTTATATCAGTCTCAGTTCCACCGCAGTTCTAAATTAATGTTTTTATTGGTTGATGTATCTCTGCTTTAAGAATAATTACACATTTTTCTTTATCAACAATAGATGTGTTAACTGTTATAAGTGAAAATGTATTTTTTGAAAAAAACCACGTAATAATCACTAGGTTGGAACTTTTTCTATAGGTTGTCTTATTTTAATTACTATATGGCTTGAGTTTTACTATTGAGTCTTAGAATCAATATGCCTCTGAATTAAAGGCTATTCACTGTTTTAGTTTAAAATCTGGTCCATTTATGTGGTCTTTCTATATGCTGGACAGAGAGGGGTTTTTAATCCAGTAGGTGGTAGCCAACAAAGTGTAACACTAAACCTGAAAGGTCTCACTCTAATTTTGAACAGTAAATTTAACATATGATAAGTAATCAGTAGTAAAAATTATCCATGAATGTAATAAACGCCGTTATACCTTATCGTATCTATTACTGATCGAAGTTTTTTGACTACGTTAGATACTCTATGTCAACAGTCAATGAACAAAATCACTGGATCTGAAGAAATACTATACTTCTAGGCACCATCATAACTAAAACTTCTCTTCATTAACCTGGTCAT